AGGAATAATGAATGTCCAGTCAACAGCGGCCAAGAAAGCAGGAAAACCACAACCACAGATGGAACAAAGTAATTTAGCAAGTTATTCAACATTTAAGATTGACCGGGAAACCTCTATTACATGTTTACCATTTCATAACAGCTTGACCCGCTTTATTGACTTAGTTCTACGAACAAAATAAGTTAGAAGCCGATAAAAGACTAACTAACGAAAACTAACTAAATAAATAAATAACAATATTAGTCTGACCATAAAAAAACTTCAACAACCTTTAGAAGTTTTCATAGGACTACCGACTGAATAGTAGCGAAATTTTCATTAACAATCAGAGCACTGATGACCTATTGAAGTGAGCATTAATTATTTGCTCATCACTTTTCATGGAGGATTTGAGCAAAGAGCGCATCGATGATGACATTTCATTTAGGAGTGAAAACAAATGGTACATCCATCTACTAGAGAGACAGCAGGGAGTACGAAAATCGACTGTAGATTTCTTTAAGCGGAAAGGACAAAGAGAGAACTTTTTTAGTTAGTGATTAAAGCCCTAGCTTCTTAATAGAACACATTCAGTTTCGTACGTAATGAAATTGAATATATTTTAGACACTTCTCGAACGACCGAGAGGAGAGAAACCGTGTTATTCTTTTTGTGCGTAATTAAACTGACAAAGAAAAATGTCCTATGGTACGAGATAAATAGATGACAAGTCATTGCTACAAAAGGAAGAGAAGATGCAGGTGTATCTTCACAAACGAGAAAGTTAATATAAAGTTGCGCATGTGCAGAAGGTTATCCTAAGTGATCCTAAAGTACCTCTTTTTGCTCGTTTAACACCACTTGAAGCACTTTTAAGAAATGTCTACGTGCAGGAATCTCTTTTTGTTTAAATTTTGATTTATAATATTTTTTTGCCAATATTTGACATGTCCATGGGTCTGTACGTGGGGAGTACCACCTTACTCTAGTATTACATCTAGTGCATCCTCTCAAATATACCTTGACGCCAGCCCATATAATTCAATTTGTATATATATATTAAATAATTATAAAAAAATATTTGAAAAATAAGGCTTTATATGTTCATATCACTAGATGACAGAGACACGCTCGCGCAATATTGTTGATTATTTTATAAGATCAATATACAACTGCTGCTTATATCTCTGTGCTGTGATACAAAGGCAATCTGGAAGCTGTATTATAGAGCACTTGAAAAACAAGAAAAACACTCGGCTACGAACGCCTCGTATTCCTAAGCTTGCTTTTCTGGTGCTCTAGATCTCCTAGTGTGTCTAATATTTCACAATAAAGAGACATGAGCGCGTATTATATATTACTTAAATGTATACGCCCACTTGCAAGAACGCTGTCATACGATATTAAAACATTAGTAATTTAGTGAGAAAGGAATACATTAAAAGACAAAAGAAAAAGTTCAGCTTCAGTGATCTTCTTTTGTTTTTTAATATAATTCCTATCCCACTAAATCACTAATGTTCTATTTTCGTATGACAACGTTGTTGCAAGTAGGTGTATATATAGTGTAATTTGAAACTTGATTTTAAAATATTTCAGATATAACGCACGCGCTGATTTTTTTGTTTTTTTTTACCGTGTTCATATCAGAGGACAGACTACTAGTCTCCCCCACAGCAGGTTGACGACACTGAAAGCGGCTGTGGGGGAGACTACAGACTACAAGCTCGCGTAAAATCGTTCAAAAATATTTTATAAAAGCAATAGAAAACGGCTGCTTAACTCTGATAACATAAAATGGTTTCCTTTTTAATCTTGAATTTTGTCCTCATTCGCTTCAGGCTCAAACTGGTTTACCTCGCCTTCGTCCCCATGAATATTAATATTATGTTATATTATATTATATTATATCATATTGCTAAATATTGTTATTTCTTAAGCAACTATGAATTTTATTTATAATTTAAAAGGAGAACAGAGTGAAATACTGCAATGCATGTTCTTAAAAAAACTATTAAGTCTAAATGTTTCAAAGTAAGAAAAAGACTTGGACCTTTCCGGCGACGCTACAACTCTTCAAACTGACTATAATGACGCAATGATTTCGAGTCGAATAGTTTTAAGTAGGTAGGAAAAAGTAGCAATCATTACAACATATTCATATAAGTATAACTATAAATATAAGTATAAAAGACACATCAAGTGATTACTCAAGCGGAAAGCTGGTAGTTTCCCAAGGTACTTCGAGTCAGTAGCGGCGCATAATAGGCTTTAGTGGTAGTGCAGCCGCCTCTAACCTCGGACTCATTTTCTTGACTCGTCATTGCATGTCATTAGTAGAGATAGAAGCACGCGTAGAAAGGTTGAAGCACGGGCGGACACGTGCCCCACCTCGCCTAATGTTTAGTAATTGATTGAATGAATAAAGATGTTTGTTTCTCCTTTAAAAATGGTTTTATTCTGAGTGCTTCCCTGCTTTCTAGGTCCCCCCCCCCCCCACCACTCCTCTAAACCTTCCCGGCCGCCTCGCCTCCCCTCCCCCATTCTAGGGTCCTCGCTACGCCCATGTTTCTTGGGTTAGTGGCACACTTGATTCGACGCTTTCTTTTTGGGTTCTTCTGTTTTTATGCCTCCTTGAATTAAACTTATCACACTAAATGCCAATTTGATCAGAGAGATCAAAGATCAGTCAGAAGTGGTTTCGCGGCATAGAATTTAAAGGCTTCAATGTTGAAGTGAGGGTACACGATAAAAGGTAGCTCGCATATTTAACTATGAATGATAATTACCTCCTAACTGGCCAGACTAAAACAACTTCATTATGCACGTAAATGCTAATACGTGAGCGCGCGACTTAGAAATTGGTTTCACTTGAAAGAGTTTTTAATAGGTTTTTCACATTTCAATTAAGATTTTTAAATCGAAAAAGGATGAATAAAAAATATCAGGTTGGCGTATCTACGGTCTAGGGACCGAAATCGGCTCCGGCGCCGTAGCCGTAAGTGTGCATGCTTCGCGCTGCCATACGACGGTTCAACACTCGATGTATGGAAGGATGTTCTTTGAAGGCTTGAGTTGGTCGACGACAACATTTTTTGAATTGACTGTATAT